AACACACATACACACAAAAACTCGCACAGACACGTACATTCGCGTTTTCCTCTCAGGCTATTATTTCGCCTCATTTTCCTTTCGCGCTTTGCTGCTCCATCATCCCTCACCCTATCCGTCTTCCTCCGCCTCCTCCTCCTCCACCTCCCCTCTCCCTGCTTACGTAGTTCCCCCTCGCTGGCTCCTTCTCCTGTTCCTCCCCCTTCTTCTCCTTCGCCCCTCTCCCTCTCCTCCGTGGTCCGTCCCCTCCTCGTCGCTTTAAGTCGGGCCTGTCCCTCTACAGGAGGACTTTTTAAACATAGTCAAACATAGTAGGGGGACGATGTTTCTAGTATGTTTGAGTATGTTTTAGTATGTGTGTTTTTTTTGTTCGTCCAACATCCGCCTGTAGGGGGGCATGCCCGACCTAACCTTCTACCCGATCTCCGTGCCGCCTTCCCCTGCCCGCTGCTCTTCCTCCTCCCAGGGGTGGTGTCGACCAGGCATCGGGGAAGGCGCCAGGGATGGCCGGCACGCTCTGCGTCTGCTCCTCTGTTTCTGCGTTGGGCCACCGGTGCTGCTCTCAGGAGGGAAAATAACACGAACACAAGTCCTCGTCGATCCCCAGGAACAGATTGGCAATTATGGGAAGGGGGGGGGAAGACGAACACCCAGAATCTGTGGAAGAATATAGGGAACCTTGGGATTTGTGTATATTTATGTAATCGCTTCGCTCATTCCGCCGGCCCTGGGGCCCTCTTTAGGGCCTCTTGGGGGCCTCTTGGGGACCTCTTTGGAGTCTCTTGGGGCTCCTTGGCGGCGTCTTGGGGGCCCCCAGTGCCTCCTGGGGGGCTCTTGGGGGCCTCTTGGGGCGGGTGGGGGGGTAGTCGATTGCGGCTCCCCCCCCGGAGGCCACGATCTTCGTGTGTCGAAAAAATGCCCGGTCCAGCATCTCTGACCCTGACCTGCCGGGACCTTGCCAGGACCTTGCCGGGACCTGGCCAGGACCTTGCCGGGGTATTGTTCGCCTGGAGACCCCCAGGGGCCGCCCCGCAAGCGCGAAGTAGAATATTGTCAACCAGTTACCGGAGATCTTAGCACGCCTCTGGCCCATTGGGCCGGCAAATTTGTGTCCCTGGGCTCCTCCGCATTCCTCCCCGCCTGCTAGCCGTCGCATGTTTTTTCGCCTCTTCGCATCTCGCCCCTGGGTACCTCCAGAGGTCTCCAGGAGGCTTCTGGAGGCCCCCCGGGACCCCTGGAGGACCATCCATTTAGTTGGTCGGTCCTCTTCGGTCCTCGAGCTTATGCTTCACTCAGTAATTTCTCCGCGCGCAGATCCACAGATGTGCATCTCGTATTCCTGTCAGGTCTCGCTGAGAAACTCTGTCTATGCGCATCTGGGTGTGAGAGCGAGTCCGCGTAGACGGCATACGCGGCAACGACGACGACGACAGCGATGATTTCAGTGACGTCCTCCTCTGGACATCTCTCAGGAGAGACGAGGGAAAACAAGTCGAAGAGCGAGGGGGACTCCTCTGCTGCTCTCCTCGCGGCAACTCAAGCAAGCCCGCATGAAACAGGCACACCGCTCGAGACATCCCAGCAATCTGGGCGGAATCCTGGGGTGCCCTCGCCCTCGGCGGCTCCCTCTTGGGTTGTCTAAAGGTCACACCTGCTATTCTGCAGTGGGCGTTGAATCACCAAAGCAAAGTTTAGGAGGCAGAAGCTGGCAAACCGCTTGAGACATTCCCAAACTTTGGGCGCGAATCCTGGAGTGTCCTCACCACTGGTGGCTCCCCCTTGAGGGTGTCCAGGTGCCACGACCGCCACATCGCAGTGATCATTGACCCACCAACAGAGAAAAGTCTGAGCGGACAGCAACAAGCAAATCGCATGAACCATCCCATCCCTACAATCTGGGCGCGAATCCTGGAGTGTCCTCACCCCTGGCGGCTCCCCTTTGGGAGTGTTGAAACCAGCGCCTCGTCTGAGACATTCTCACAATCTGCTCCGAAAACGGAGGATACTTGGGCCCGAAGCTTGCAAACCGCTGGAGGCATCCCCACAATGTGGGCGCGGATCGTGACGTGTCCCCACCCCGTGAGGCCCCCTCTTGGGGGTGCTGAAAACCAATGCTTCGCTTGAGACATGCCCGCAATCTGCTCCGAGCACAGAGGAGGTTTGGGGGCATAAGCAGGCACACCACGGGACACATCCCACACGTGGGACGCGAATCCTGGAGCGTCCTTATCCCTGGCGCACCCCCCCGCATTTGGGAGTGCTGCGACCAGCGTTTCGCGTGAGAAACCTTGGCAATCTGCTTCGAAAGCGGAGGATGCTCGGGGGGCAGACTCAGTAAACCGTTTGAAATTTTCCCTGCAACTTGGGCACGGTTCCTGGAGTGTCCCCACCCCTGGCGCCCCCCCCTTCAGGAGTGCTGAAGCCAGCGCCTCGCCGGAGACATCCTCACAATCTGCTCCTTCAGCAGAAGATGCTGGGGGACAGGAGCAGGCAAAACGCTTGAGCCATCCCCACCATCTGGGTGAAAATCCTGGAATGTCCCCACCCCTGGCGGCTCCCCCTTGGGGTGCCCCGGTGCCACGTCTGCTGTATCGCGGCGAGCACACCGAAACAGTTGTGCGCGAGTCTGAGTGAGGAAGACTGTGTCGGAGTGGGTGAATTCGAATCTGGGTGAGTTACAGTGCGTGTGATGTTCATTCCCTGAGTGGGTCTGAGTGTGTCTGAGTAGGTCTGGGCCCGAGTGAGTCCCAGTGAGGCAGTGATGTGGCTGAGCCTGCGTGGCGTGAGGGAAAGTAGTCAGGGATGGAGCCCGTGAAGAAAAGAGTGGGTCTGTGATTGGCCCCGTGATGGACGTGAGTGGTTTGTGTACGAGTACCTGAGTGATGCGAGAGTGAGGAAGAGGAAGAGGAGGAGAAGGAGGAGAAGGAAGAATAAGGTCCGGAGGCGTCCACGTAATACCAAGAACCCCATCTTAAGATATGGGGGGCTATCCAGCTGCCTGCGGCCAAATCCCGCCATCGTGCCAACCCAACATTCTGGGTGGCAATTGTTCGAGGGGGCTCGGGAGGCAGTCACGTGTGACACCTCACACTAAATCGGGCATCTCCCTCTGCAGGAGCAAACTTTTTTAAAATAGTTGAACCATACTCTGGGGACGATTTTTTTATTATTTTGATTATATTTGAATGTGTTTCCCTATTATCATGTTGTCGTCCAACATCTTGCTGAAGGGGAACACGCCCGACCTAAGCCTCATGTCTTCAGGCTTGGGAGAGCCTTGATTAGGATGATGAGGATGATTGGCATGATGATGACGACGCTGATGATGACGATGTTGATGAAGGTGACGAGGATTAATATGTTAATGTGGATACCGATGATGATCATGATGCTGATAATGATGCTGATGATGATGATGATGCTGATGTTGAGGTCGATGATGCTGCTGATGATGACGATGACGATGATGATGACGATAAAGATGATGATTACGAGAATGATGACGATGATGATCATTATTATGATGATTGTGACGCTGATGAGACGATGATGATGCTGCTGCTGATGATGCCGATGCTGCTGCTGCTGCTGATGAGGATGCTTCTCATGATGACGACGATGATGCTGATGCTGATGATGATGACCATGATGGTGGTGCTGCTGATGATGCTGCTGCTGATGCTGATGCTGATGCTTGTGCTGCTGAGGATAATGCTGATACTGATGTTGCTGCTGCTGCTGCTGATGCTGCTGCTGCTGCTGATGATGATGATGACGATGATGATGACGCTGCTGCTGATGAGGATGCTGCAGCTGATGATACCGATGCAGATGCGGATGCGGATGCTGATGCGGATGTTGATGCTGCTGGTGATGCCGATGAGGAGGAGGAGGAGGAGGAGGAGGAGGAGGAGGAGGAGCAGGAGCAGGAGCAGGCGCAGGAGCATGAGGATGAGAAGGTGAACGCCGTCAAATGTGACACCTGTCGTCTTCGCTATGTAAGGGATTTTCATGGAGCTCGTTTGGGCCACCTTGGGGCTGTCTTGGCCTCCTGTGAGGCAGTCTTGGGGTCCCTTCGGGTCCTCTCTGGCCTTCTGGTGGCCCTCTTACGCCGTCTTGGGGGTCTCTTCAGCCGTTTGGGGACCCTCTTTGCCTTATGGTCAGTGGTCGGGTCGCCTTGGCGCCGTCCGTCTTGGGCCGTCGAAGGCCTTTAAGGCCGTCTTGGGTCCCACAGGAGGCCCTTTTTGGCCGTCTTTGGGCCGTCTTTCATGCCTCTTCGGCCATCGTGGGGTTCTCTTGGGCCATCTTGGGACGCTCTTAAGGGCCTCTTGGGCCGTCTTGGGTCCATCATGGAGAGATCGTGGGCCATCTTGGACTAACGGAGACCAAAAAAGGCGAGAATGCTAACATCATTCAAACGCCCAAGGGAAATCAATGATTTGGGTTTCTTCGGACAATGTTAGAGGTCCTCATGTAGCCCATCTAGGCCATCTTGGAGGTATCTTGGGTCGTCTTGAGGCCAGAACCGGCCGCGATGGGTTCATCTTGGGCCGTCTCCGAGGCATATTGGGCTAGCTTAGTGTCCCTAGTTGTCTGCATCCGCCATCTTGCAAGCTCGCGACGCGTAATGCGGACTCATCGTTTTTACAAACAGGGGTCATGGCCCCGGGATCGCGCTTCCATCGTGGTTCACGAGGGATCGTGGCCTCGGGAGGGGTGGTGGTGCATGCGGGGATTCGCCGGTAGAGGGAAGAGGAGGTACTTTGTTAGAACACAGGAGCCCTACCAGACAGCACTCAGCACTCTACCACGCCTCACACGCCTCAACGTGTCAGGGGCCACGGTGGCGGATCTCCTCAAAAACGTCAGTCCTCGGATCTTCGATCCTCCAAACCGTCAATCCTCGACCTCTCCCAAAGAATAAGAAAACGTCACACCGTTCAGTCCTCGATCATCCTACGTTTGGCCTGTCTCCGTCTGGTTCTGTCTTTCTACTGGAGCCCGGCGCAGAGGATCCGTGCTCATAACCTCGCCCTTGACGACTCCGAGGACGCCCTGCCCCATCCCGCCGCCACCCCGCCATCGCCGATCGAGATCTGCTCCGTCTGTTCCTCCTCCTCGGAACTGGGATGGTGGCAGTGTCAGGTGGATTTTCGATGCCATTGTAGCCTTCCTCCTGGCCTTCGCCAGGGGAAGGGGGATAACACCGCGTAGGTGAAGAAGGATAACCGTAGGGAACGAACAGGCGACGGAATGGAGCGCAGGTAGATAGACTCTTCCACCTCTTGTTTGCCTCCTCCTCCTCCTGTGGCCTAAGGTGACCCCCGACAGTTCCCTGGACCAGCGGGAATGTAGGTAGAGCGATGTGCCGCCCAGCTTTCAGTGTGTGACCGCATTCGCCCACACGGACCAGCAGCGATGTGCCGCCCAGCTTTCACCGCATTCGCCCACACGCACACACACACACACACACACACACACACGCCCACACCCACCCACCCACCCACCCACGCACGCACGCACGCACGCACGCACGCACGCACGCACGCACGCACACACGCACGCACGCACGCACGCACGCACGCACGCACGCACGCACGCACGCACGCACGCACGCACGCACGCACGCACGCACGCACGCACGCACGCACGCACGCACGCACACACACACACACACACACACACACACACACACACACACACACACACACACACACACACACACACACACACACACACACACACACACACACACACACCCACACAACACCCACCCACCCACCCACCCACCACCCACCCACCCACCCACACGCACCACGCACGCACGCACGCACGCACGCACGCACGCACACACGCACGCACGCACGCACGCACGCACGCACGCACGCACGCACGCACGCACGCACGCACGCACGCACGCACGCACGCACGCACGCACGCACACACACACACAAACACACACACACACACATACACACACATACACACATACACACATACGCACACACACAAACACACAAACACACAAATACAACAAAGAAAAACAACACACAAACACACAAACACACAAACACACAAACACACACACACACGATATATATTGAGTGGTGTGAGCTCACCCCGCGGCCTGAGGCCGAGGTGGGTGACACCTTGTTGTTCTGCAAGAGGTGCTGCCAGCACGCTTCCACGAGACCACTGGGCCTCGGCAAGGTCTGTCCCAGTCTGGGGATCCCCGGGCCCCTCTACAGGCGGAGTATTCAAACGTGGTCGAAGAATAGTCTTTGGACGACTGTTTGACGAGTTCTCTGAGTTTCTTGCGGGTATGTTTCGTGCTCTGATTTTTCGTCCAGACCCCGCCCGCAGGGGCACACGACCGACCTAAACTTCGCGCGGGGCCGAGACACCAGGGGAACGAGCAGTGGTTCGCTCGCGATCGGCCGTGGCCACCGCCCGATCGTCTCCGGGCTGGTGAGGCGGGCCTCCCTGTCCACGAGCGGCCTGCCGGCAGGGCGCCGCGCGGCGCAAGAGAGAGCCGCGGGTGCCCCCCGCCTCCGCAGCGCCCGTGTGCGGCGTCTGGCGAGGCAGCGGCACGCGAGGCTGCCTGAGATTCTTCGCTGAGGTGGTCGTGTTCTTCTTCCTTGTTTTGTTGCCGATCGGCGCGGGCCCTCGCCCCCCTCTCCCCCCCCCTGGAGCGTTTCTCCGAAGGGCTTAGGCGACCTGTCCTGCTCCTTCTCCTCCTCCTCCTCCTCCTCCTCCTTCTCCTTCATCTCCTCCTCCTCCGTCTCCTCCTCCTCCTCCTCCTCCTCCCCGGGTCACCTACGGCCCCGGGAAAACCGTGCACCCCCCCTCCATGGAGTAGATCTTGGCTGTTTTTGGCGCCTGTTTCAGGCAGGTGGGGTCTCCCCCCCTCCCCCCTCCTTCCGCCCAATGTCGAAACGCCGAAGAGCACAACGTTTACGAGGCAGCACGTGTCGGCGGCGAGCGAGGGGGGAAGTGAGAAGGAAAAGGCCTTCTCAGAAGGCTCGGAAGCCCCCCAGGCCTGAGGAGTCTTCGAAGCCTTCCCTGAAGATCCACAACAGCTGTTCAGAAGGCGCTGGGAACGCTCACAGTCAGAGGCCAACACATACCGTGAACGCATCGGTTTAGATAGGCCGTTTCTTGGGCTAGACGCTTTTTTCATTTCCGTCGTTATTTGTTGTGTTATTATTATCAATATTTGAACATGATCCCAACATATTCTCACATTGCCTGCGGGGCGCGCTCTGTGGTGTACCTGGCAGCGTTCATTGGAGCATTACGACCCCTGCGTCTTTGGACGCGTAGTAGTTCCCCTTGCCCCCACCCCCTCCAGTGCCGCATCTCCTGGGTACTCCCGACACTGGTGGCGCAGCAGGCACATCGGATAAGGAACCGGCCTGCCAGGGGGTGCCCCACGGAGACGTCTGATCCCCCGATGGCCCCCGGGAGCTTGGAATTTCCAGGGAGCCCCCGCGCCCTCCCGAGCACCCCATCACGAGGCCCAGAGGGCCCCATGGGGCCCCCAAGCTGAAAGAGCAGCTGGGGGCACCCTGGGCCGCCGTGGGCCCGGGGGGCGACCTGCAGCATTCTAGGCTTAAGTCGGGCATGTCCCTCTACAGGAGGGATGTTCAAAAATAGTTACAAAATAATCTGGGGATGATTGTTTCAGTATGTTGACTCTTTTCTGGTTTGTAATAATAATGTTGTATTTGTCGTTTAAAATCCGCCTGTTGGAGGACATGCCCAACCTAATTCTAGGCCTCCTAGATGGGGCCTAATATCGGCGACGCGGCGAGCTCCTCCGACCCCATCGACTCGGACCCCATCTAGGGGGCCTCCAGGTATGGGGCTTTGCGCCCAGTTTCTCGGGTGAAGTCGGGCACGTCCCTCTACAGGAGTAGTATTCAGAAGTGGTCAAAAAATAGTCTTGGGACGATCTTTTGATTATTTCTGGGGTATTTTGCTACCTCGTTTCCATTGTTCTTCGAAAATCCGTCTGCAGGAGGACATGCCCGACCTAAGACTAGTGGGGGAGGCCGTCACCGGCCAGTGCCATGGCGTTGCCCCGGAAGTCACGGCCGTCTTCTCTTCTTTCAACACGTGCTCCGGTTCCTCCTTCCCTCGTCCGCGCAGGTGCCTCGGGCCATGGATACCGAGCCCCCCTCTTGGGCGCTCCCGAGTGTTGGGCATCGTTCCGAGTTTCCAGTGTGGGGGGCCAAATTCCAGCCCGCCCGAATGGAGTCGAAGCAGACGGGGTCGGTGGATCGCGCCGCATCGCTGTAGCGTGGACGACGCAGCTCGATTCTTAGCCCGATAATTCTCCATCCCTGAAGCATCGGCGATGCGGCGGCGCGACTCCCTGACTCCAGTTTGAGCGAGGTCCAAAGGTGTCCCCCGCTCTTCCCTCCGCCCTCCTCCCTCGGTGCTTCAAGCCAAGGCGGGGCCGGTTCTCTCTGGAGATGGAGGCGGGCGCGTCACTTCAATCATTGGGTTGGCGCCAGTGTCTCCTCTCTAGGCAGTAGCCGTTATCGACACACTGCATTCCGATTCCGTTTCCGATTCCCCCTCCATCCATTCAACAGAGAAGAAAGGACCACCGCCACCAGCTGGGGGACCAGCTGGGGGGGCTGGCCGCTCCCCCTCCCCGAGATGGTGACACCCCCGTTCCTGGCGCGCCACCAGCTCGGGGGGGCGGTCTTCGGGAACGGCGGTCTATGGAGCTTGGTTGGCAGTGGCTCTTTTTGCTCTCATGATCCGTCCTCCTGCGCCCTCGTGGCCGCGCCCCCACTCTGCCCCCCCCCCAGCAGCCTGGCAGCCCGCGGCGCGCCATCGCCCCCTCTGCCACCCGAAGGATGCAGCGCTCCCCCAGCAGCACGCTGTTCGCCCCCCACACCGTGCCCAGGCCGACCGCGGCGCCCCGACCGCCGCCGCGGCCGTCGGCGCCGTCGTCGCTGGTCGACGTCGTCGTCGTCGCCAGTCGCCGCCAGTCGTCGCCAGACGTCGCCAGTTGTCGTCGTCGTCGTCGTCGTCGTCGTCGTCGTCGTCGTCGTCGTCGCCAGTCGCCGTCGTCGTCGTCGTCGTCGTCGCCGTCGCCGTTGGTCGTGGCCGGTCGTCGCGGGTCGTCGGCCGTCCTGGTCGCCGTGCTGCGGAGAGAGATGGTTTTGGTCGTGGCGGATCTCGTGGTCGGTCTCTTCGGGGCCTCCGCGGGGGCGGCTGGGGGCGCCGGCTCCGGGGGCGTCGTCGCCCTCGCGCGGGGCCCCCCGGAACTCGGGGGGGAAGAAAAGCACACAGGCACAATGAATCGTCGATGCCCCAGAGAACATGTGGGGGGGAAATATGGGAAGTGGGGGGGAAGGCAAAACATCCAGGAAGTATGGGAAGATCTGGGGGATCCTTCGATTTGTGTCTGTTTATTTGTGCGTCCCAGGGCCCCTTCAGGAACCCAGGACACTGCAAGCCAAGGCCTGTCGAGCAATGCTGATGGCAGAACGGCCCTGACAATCGTGCAACCTGCGCGGGGGCAAGCCGGGTGGAGCAGGCAGTGCGGCGCAATCTCGGTGGTGGAATCCACACGGTGCACTATCCACGCAGCGCAGTGCGAAGCAACGCGGTGCCACACCGTGCCTTGCGATGCCACGCAGTGCACTGCAGAGCCGTGCAGAGCGGTGCGCTGCGATGCAGAACCACGCGGCGACGGGCGGCGACGAGCCGGTCCGACCGCCACGGGCCAGCGGCGACGGGCGGCGACGAGCCAGCTAGACCGCCACCGGGGCCCGGTGACCTCAGAGCTCGGGGCTCAAGAGCTCCGGGGTCAGTTCAAGCGGGGGTCAGCCAGGGCGCCGGGTCTTGCAGGATCCCGCGGGGCCAGGGTCGCACGGACCCAGGTTTGGGTGCAGACTCCTGCAGGATCTTGCAGGATCCTTCGCATTGACCCAGGTTTCGGTGCAGGATCTTGCAGGATTCTGCATGGCCTGACTGACCCGGGTCTGGATTGACCCAGGTCAGAAGATCCCCGAAGAGCGCAAGTACGAATCAGAAAGTGAAGCGCCGTTCGGGGAACATTCGCAATGCCGACAAGAACTGTAATTGTAGCATGCGCTTTCCGAGGTCCGCGCGGGGCCTCGGATCGGCGCTGGTCCCCCCTCCCCAGCACGCGGAGCCTGCCAGGGGCGGCGCCGAATGTGCCGTCAGGGGGCTCGGCGACGAGCCAAGAAGTCCGGGCGGGCCTTCGCGAGGACGTCAAAGGTGGGAGACCGAGCGGCCCACGGCTGCAACTTTCTCGGGTGCGGCAGCGCGTCGGATCCCCGCCGATTTGGGCACTGGTGGCGCCTCTGGCTCCTCCCGCACTTTGGAGCCCACTCCCAGGCCAGGCTTGGCCAGCCACGGTCCAACTCACCTTGCACCTGCGGCAGGGGGGAACACATCCGTGGGCGCTTCCCCGCTGCCCCAGACTCGAAGCTGGCAGTGCCGCGGGGGAGACTGCGGTCGGAGTGCAACTCATCAGACCCACCGGCAACATCGAACACCCGGGGGGAGGGGGAGGCGTTGGCCGACGAGTGTGGCATGCTTGTCCGCTGTGTCTTCCCAAGGCCCCCCCCTCTCCTCCTGGCAGCCCCCGCGGAGGTCCTCCAGGCAGGAGGCCAGCCCACCGGGGTTGCGCCCCGCGGAGACTGCACGGAAGCCTCGCGGCCGGCTCCGCCGACGCTGATCAGCGAACGGGTTAGGCGCCAGAGGCGGAGGAGGGGGCGGGGGCAGCTGTCATGTGACGGCGGGGGCAGGGGCCGTGGCAGCTGCAACGCGACGGCGGAAAGAGGGCGGAAAAGGGGTCGTGCGGCAACAGGTTCGGCGCAAGAGGCAGAAAGGGGTGCGGGGGCAAGGGCCGTGGCAGCTGTCATGCGACGGCGGAGATCTCAGGGTCGTCGGCCCCTCTCGCCACTGCGCCTGGGTCGTGTTTCAGAGGCCCTGGGGACATTTCTGGGATGTCTTGTGGGCCTCTTGGGGGGCTTGGGATTGTGTTGGATGGCGTTTCTTCCAGCGGCGCGGCAGTGGCGTGGTTTATGTGCCCCTCTTCGGCCGTCTTGGAGGACGCTTCGGCCAAATCGTGACATCCAGCTCCACTTGCGACCTCCGGCTTCCGCTCTTCGGGATTACGCCTCCACCTTCCGAGTTCCAGCTTTCCACCGATCGGCTTCCAGCCGCCAGCGGTTGTCAACCTCAAACCTGACACGTCAGTTGTCCAACTGTCCAGCCTCCACCTCGCGAAATCCAGCTCCTACATAATTACCACCTTCCACGTGTCGACTTCCAGACTCCAGCTTTCGATCTCCAGCCCGCGCCAGCAGCTGTTGACCTGTAACCTCACGCGTCCGACTTCAGCCTCCACATTCTCCGAATGTCGACTGCCACTTCTGACATTCCTGTTACTAAGGCCACCACCTTTCCACCTTCGACTTCCAGTCTCCACATTTCGACTTCCAAGGCCCACCAAGTGCAGTCGGCCTCAAAAGCACGCGTCCACCAACAATGGATATCAGCACCTCACTCGAGCAATTACCGGCCACCACCTTACGACCTCCAGATCCCGTGTTCCAACTTCACCCTCCATTTGCCGACACCCTGACTCCAGCTTTTTCGGCATCGAGCTCCCAGCAGCAACTGCCGGTATCAAGCCTCACGCGCCCGGCTGCGCCCTCCAGTTTCGACATTTTCTACCGACTTCCACTTTCACCTCCTGTTCATCTTCCTCCTCCCTCCCCATTTCCAGTCTCCGGCTTTCGACCTCCAACGCCCGCCAGCAGCAGTTGACATCAGGACTCGCGTGCCCAGCTTTCGACCCTCACGCTTCCGGGATATAGAGTGCGACGTGTGCATTGATTGGCTTGTTTTCTACCACCATCACCACCACCATAAGTTCGAGGGGGGAAGGGGGTGTAGGACGATGAGGAGGAGGAGGAGGAGGAGGAGGAGGAGGAGGAGGAGGAGGAGGACCCACTCCCCCTCTCATTTATGGTGGCGGTGGTGGAACACCGGCCCAGCTTGCATTCGAGGACGAGCGGGGCCAGAGTTCTCGGGCACCGACCGCTGCGCCACGAGTGCTCTCCCTGCCGCACCCCCTCCCCGCCTCCCCACGCCGACCTCGACCGCCACCCCGGCGGGCTCCGGCCCGCCCGCGCTGGCCTCAGCGGCCCCCGCCCCTGGGCGGACGCAGGGGCGCTCCGCTCTCCGCTTCCCCGGAGGCTGCCCCCGTGGCCTCCCCGGAGGCTGCTCCGGGCTCTCCCCCTCCTCTGGGGGCCCACCCTTCGGGGGCCCCCGAACGGGGTGGTGACCACACCGTGCGGCGAGTCGGTGGGGATTCGGGGGCACCGCACGGTTTTGGGACTCGGGTCGTTCTCCGAGGACGTCTCGGGCGACAGGGGCCTCCGGGGTCCCAAGACCGTGCGGTGACGGACCGTGCGGTGAGGTACCGGGGGGATTTCGAGGTCACCGCACGGTCTGTCACCGCACCGTTCCGGGACTCCAGAATCGAGCCCACCAGTGCCCTCCAAGGCGTCCCAAGAGGACGAGACGGCCCAGGAGGGGCCCGAGAGGACCCCCAAGGGGGCCCCAGAGACACAAACCATTGGCTGAAGTGACCTGCGCTGCTCCGCCGACCCCTGGAGGAGGAACGAGGTCCACGGGTGGGGCCGTTTTGGCCTCTCGGATACCGCTTGAGGGGCCCTCTACAGTCAGCCCGGGTTAGTGGTCGACCCTGTCAGCTCAAGGGTACCCTTTTGTGTACTGTGCCTCGCGACACGTGCCTGCTTATACTTCTATGGCGATGTGGCCCTCGGAAGGCTCTTGTGTCCTCTCGCGTGTCCTGTCCAATCAAGGCCGACTGTAGGACATCTTGTTGGCCTCTTGCGAGCCTCTTGGAGCCTCTTGGGGGTCTGTTGGGCGCCTGCTGGCTGTCTTGAGGGTCATCTTTTGGCGGAGCGCTACACATTGAATTTCGAGTACCTCCTCTTGATGCTCTTCTGGGCCCTCGTGGGCGCCTCTGAGACCGTTCTGGGGAACTCTTGGGCAGTCTTGGTGCCACTCCTGGGCACCTCTTGGGCCGACCTGGATCGATCTTGGGGTCCTTTTGAGCCGCTTTGGACGCTGCTGAATCCAAAAGGGTGGATATATTACACGTGTTCCTTCGGAATTGGGGCAGTGTTGGCCTCTCTGGCTTCCTTTTGGAGCTCTCTGGGGACGTCTTGGAGGCTTCTTGGGCCGTCTTGAGCCTATCCTGGTTGTGTGTTGAAGCCTCCTTGGCGTGTTGGAGCCCAGCTTGAGCAAGCTTAGATTGAATTCTAGGCATCTCGGATCCGAGGCCATGAGAAATTGAAGCTCCAGAGGCCCCAGGGGGGCGCTAGGGAGCCCGGAGACCTCCCCCCCGCGGCTCCCCCCCCCGCCCCCCCTTCTCTCTTCTGATCGGATTTCAGACCCTAGGAGAGGGGAGGAGCTTCGCATCGCTTGGACGTGTGCATTTTTTCGGCGAGGACCATCGGGGAGCATCTGGGATCATCTTGCAACAAAAAAACGCACACGCACGAAACGAACAAATGCATGGGGAATGGACGCCCGAGCGATGTTGAGGGAGGGGGAGGAGGGGGAAGGCCAACCATCGCACGCGTCTTTGACCCCCCCCCCCGGCAGGCGAGGTCGGTGGAGGTCCCGCAGGTTGGTTTGCAGAGTTGAGCGTTCTCCTGTTTGCCCATCTCCGCGCTCCCCTCTCCTCCTCCCCTCTGCGGCCGCCCTCTTGTTAATCGTAAGTCGGGCCTGTCCCTCTACAGGAGGAATATTCAAAAACAGTCCAAAAATTGTCGGGGGACGATATTTTGAGTATTTTTCGACCATGTGGGGGTATTTTTGGAGTATGTTTCTTTTTCGCCCAAAATCCCCCTGTAGGGGGACAGGCCCGACCTGATCTCAATCCACCCCTCTTGCATGCGGGACAACTCGCAACGCCGCAGCCCGGGTTGCTCGATGCTCGAGCGGATCGCCTTCGCCGCGCCGCGACGGACAACTATGTCCGTCTTCCGACCGCCCAGCCCTCAAGAGGCCTCCAAGACCGCCCAAGACCGGCTCAAGTTGGACCCCAAGAGGGCACCGAGACGGCCCAAGACCAGCTGAGGGCGACCGAAGAGGCCCCCATGGCGGCCCAAGATGGCCCCAAGACACCCTCCGAAGCATTCCAAATCGGAACCCGGTCGTTCAGGGAGACCGCGGTTGGAGGCAGGGTGGCCCGAGGAAGACCCCAGAGGCCACCAGAATACGCCCAGGAGGCCTCCTGAAGGCCTTAAAGCCTGAAACAACTTTTGCGAGGCCCCCAGAGGCTCTCCAAGGAGGAGCCTCCGCAAAAAGAGCTGAGGAGGATGGGGGGAATGCGCAGGGTATGGCGAAAATGAGGAAAAATAAGCACGGAGGAAGGATAACGAATAACATTATTATAGCGGCGATGCCAGAAAAGGCAACAAGAAATTATCGCCAAATTGTTGGCTTGACCTTCCTGCTATTCCGCCTGCGTACCAAACTTCAAGGACCAAGGTGCATGGCGCGAAGCTCAAATCCATGATTTGTGCCTCTTGGGGTCTTCTTGGGAGTGCTCTTGGAGGCCTCTTTGAAGCCGCTCTTGGGCCATCTGGAGGTCACGTCGGTCACTCTTGGAGCGCTCTTGTGCTGTCTTCGTGGTCTCTGGGACGTCTCCGATGACCCCCCTGATCGCCCTAGGTGTGTTGGGAAGGCTTGGTAAAACGCCATGCGATGCCCGGGGGGCCGCTTCGAGGCCCGTCCGGAGGGTCCCGAAGCCCCAGATCCCGGGAGTCCGGTTTCGGGGGGGGTCCCCCCCGCCCAGGCTTGTAAAAATATAGGAAGTGGAGTATATGTATACATATATATATATGTGTATATATATACATACCGGGGTCGTAGATATGTATAGGTCTATACATATATATATATATATACATGCATACACACATAACAGATATAAGTGTGCTCGGTATGTCTGATTATGTTGCCTGTATGCACGTATGTATTTATGAAGCTATGCATGTATGTGTGTATGCATGTATGTACGCATTCACATTTGTATGTGCGTATGCATGTATGCGTGTGTATGTATGTCTATATGCATATGTACAAAACTGTATGTATACGTGTATGCATGTATTAAATTGTGTACGTACTTGTATGTGAATGTACGTATGCGCATGTATGCACATGTATGTATGTGAATGCACGTATGTGTAGGTATATGTATGTGTATGTGCAATTGTATGTGTATGTATGTATGTCTGTCTGTATGTATAGATTTCTGCATGTTCGTATGCATGCAAGCATGCATGCATGCATGCATGTATGTGTGTATGCATGTGTCGGTGTGTGTGTGTGTGTGCGTGCGCATGTCTGTGTGCCATGTGTGCATGCAGGCATGTATGCATGCATGTATGCATGCATGCATATGTGTGCGTGTACGTATGCATGCATGCATGCATGCTCGTAGTTATGTATTGGATGCATCGAATCATGCATGCATGTACGCATGCACGTGTGCATATCATCATGTGTGCATGTACATATGTGCGTATGTACGCTTGTGTGTATGTATGAATGCATGCATGCATGTCTTTATGTATGTATGTATGTATGTATGTTTGTATGTATGTATGTATGTATGTATATTTTTCATGTCTGTGTGTTGGGTATGTAGAGCCTGACCTTACGTATGCGTGTATGTATAAATGTACGTACGTATGTTTGTATATATATATATGTGTGTGCATGCCTGCATGTATGTGTGTACGTACGTCTACTCGTTCGCACGTGCGTACGTGTGCATGCATGCATATATGTATGCATGCATGTATGTAATGAATGCAATGAATGTCTGCGTATATGTACGTATGCGTATGTATGTATGTATGCATGTAGATATGTACGTATGTATGAATGGGTATACGTTTGCATGGTGGTGTGCCTGTAGGTAGGTCGGTACGCGTGTGTGCATGTATGCATGTATGCATTTATGTATGTATGTATGTATGTACGTATGTATGTATGTATGTATGTATGTGTATGTATGTATGTATGTATGTATGTATGTATGTATGTATGTATGTATGTATGTATGTATGTATGTATGTGTTTATGTATGTCTGTATGTATGTATGTATGTGTGTATGTGTGTATGTGTGTACGTACGTATGTATGTATGTATGTATGTATGTGTGTATGTATGCATGTCTGCATGTCTGCTTTTTATGTATGTAACCCGCAGTTGCGGACAAGGGAGCGGGCGGGCGCGGGGTGGGTCGCGGGTGGGTCGCGGCCGGTCGCGGGTGAGTCGCGGGTGGTCGGTCGCAGGCGGGTCGTTGTAGGTACGCGGGTGGGTCGCGGGTGGGTCTCGGAGGGGGACACAGGTCGGTCGCGGGCCGTTCGCGGGTGGGTCACGGGTGGGTCGCGGCGTGGTCGCGGCGTGGATCGCGGGCGGGCCGCGGGTGAGCGCGGGGTGGGTCGCGTGTGGGTCACGGGAGGGTCGCGGATGGGTCGCGGGTGGGTCGCGGGTGTGTCGTAGGTGGGTCGAGGGCCAGGTCGCGGGTGGGACGACAACAAACAACAGCAACGCAATAACAGCAGCAGCTTCAACACCACTCTGTACCGCAGAATCCCACTTCAGCCATTCAGAAACGCACCCACTGACAGTGAATGACCGTTCGGCCACAACGTTCCGACACATACATATATACATACTATAGATATATGTACATGTATATGTATGTGTACACATGGGTGCATATAATATGCATATATACATAGATATACATGTATATATGAATATATATATATATGTATATATTCACATATATATATGAATATATTCCCAGAGGCACCCCACGACCGCCCAAAGTCCTCCCCGCACCCGAGAGGGCTCGAAGACGGCCTTCTGGGGGCAGTCGGGGGCGCAGCAGCGGGGGACCAGTGACTGCCTACACGCATGTCTACTTGTATGTGTGGTTGTGCACACCTTGCCCCAACCCGGGCACTCATTTGCGCCTTCGGCGACGGACGCGCTGGCTTCCAAACCCGCAGGTCCCTTTCATGCGGGCACGGTCCCCGTGCCCCGCTTAATACCACACCCCAAGACAGGTAGAGTCTGCGCGCGCGATGGTTCTCGTATAGGTGCGCGGGTGTATAGATATGTAGGTATATGTAGGTTTGCGTCTACACATACACTTACATGTGTGTGAAGACCTGTCTCTGCAACTTGTGCATGTTAGCACATACGACGACATGAAACACACATGTACCTATGAGCTGTTGAAGACATCTCAGGTCGCAGGCGCGCTCGCGGCGGGCCACAGTGGCGGTGGGGGACTTCCGCGCTGAGGCGGCCGAGGGCGCAGGCGGCCCTCCCACTGGGGACGACGCCAAGTGCGACGACGACGGCAACGACGATCGACGACGGCGAGGACGACAACGACGGCGGCGGCGACGACGACGGCGACAACGACACGATGACGACGATCGGATGAGGAGAAGGTGCCGTGCCGATGCCGCTGCCCTTGCCTCGCCGTCGCGGCCAGATTCGCCCGCAAGTCCTGGTCAGAACGGGCCCCAGTAGAAGTCGGGGGAGTCGCGGTGTTGGCATGTGATTGACCCCTGGAGCGACGACCAGAGGGGAAGGGGGAGGCGGAGGAGGAGGGGGAGGAGGAGGGGGAGGGGGAGGAGGGGGAGGAGGAGGGAGGAGGAGGGGGAAGAAGAGGCACGATGACGACGACGACAACAAGATGACGACGGGAGCACCGAGGATGGCAGCGGCCGCGGCGGCAGCGTCGGCGTTGGCCACGACGGCAAATCGGCGACGGCCGACAGCGAGGGCTTGGACGACGACGACGGTGGCGGCGGCAGCGGCGACGAGGGCGCCGGCGGCGCTGGAGGCGACGACGGCGGCGACTGAAAGAGGGCGACGGCGAGGACGAGGGCGTCGTTGAGGACGAGGGCGGCGACAAGGTCGAGGTCGCCCTCTTTTGTAGATCTGCCAGCGGCCCAGTGGTCAGCCATCACGCGCCCTTGAGGCTCTGGCCTCGCTCGGCCGGGGCCTGGCCGTGCCGCGGCGGCGTGCCTCCTTGAGGCGAGCAGGTAGAGTAGTGGGGAGGGGATGCAGGAGGAGCGAGGAGGAGGAGCGAGGAGGAGGAGCGAGGAGGAGGAGGAGGAGGAGGAGGAGGAGGAGGAGGAGGAGGAGGAATGAGGAGGAGGAGGAGGAGGAGGAGGAGGGAGGAGTGATGAGGAGGAGGAGGAGGAGGAGGAGTTGGAGGAGGAGGAGGATGAGGGAATGCAGGAGGAGGAGGAGGAGCGAGGGGGAGGAGGTGAAGGACGAGGAGGATCAAGCAGTGGTGAGGCGTCCTGGCGTGCCTATAGGCCCTCCAAACAATGTTCTGAGAACCTGTTGTGGTCTGTACGAATTGTTCTTAGAGCATTTCTGGCTGGGACTGACTTGTCTCAACACATCGGGTTTATGTTCTAAGAACATTCTGTTTGTTCTTAGAACATTCTTGGGCTGTAAGAACATGTCGTGGTAGGCCTATCGGAGTGCCGGGACGATCTGTCCTTGCTAAAGAAGAGGAGGAGGAGAAGGAGGAGGAGGAGGAGGAGGAGGAGGAGGAGATGCACGAGACGAAGGAGTCTACAGGATGAGGACGCCCATCATCCAAAGTCAGGAGGGCGCTGAATGTGCCTGGTCCTCAGCACATGCCAGCCACAGGCCATAGAGACCACTAACGAGGTAGAGGGGTGTAGCCAAGACGTCGTTGCGACGACGACTTGCAAACGGAGACGACGACGAAGACGACGACGAATGACGACGACGACGAAGACGGCGACGACGCTGGAGACGACGGCGACGACGTCGGCGATGACGTCGACCGACGACAGCACCGGCGATGGTGGCGGCGGCGACGACGTCGGTCGACAACGAGGGCGACAAAAACGACGATGGCGACGGCATCGGCTCGTCGACATCCTCGTCTTCGTCGGTGTGATCTTCGTCTTCCTCGTCCTCCTCGTCGTCTTTATCGTTGTCCTCGCCCCCGTCGTCGTCGTAGCCGTTGCCATATTCGTCGTCTTGATCGTCGTCTTGATCGTCGTCGTCGTCGTTGTCGTCCGCCGCCCGTCGTCGCCGCCGCCGCCCGTCGTCGTCGGAGCATCGGCGTCGGCTCATCGGCGTCACCTCGCCGTCGCCCTCCGCCTTCGCCGCACTGGCGCGCCGCGGGCCTTGCCTTGAGTCGGGCACGCTCAGGAGGGAAATTTCCCCAGTGCGACCCTACCTAGAAGTTGGAGCACCTAGGAAATCAGCATTTGTTGCTGTGCTATGCTATGCCATGCCATGCCATGCCATGCTATGCTATGCTATGCTATGCTATGCTATGGTATGCTATGCTATGCTGCGCTATGCTATGCTATGACATGATATGATGTGCTAAACTATGATATGTCATGCTGCGCTGTGTTAGGCTAAGCTATGATATGCTATGCTATGCTAAGCTGCGCTATGCTTTGCTCTGCTATGCTATGCTATGCTATGCTATGCTGCGCGGTGCTATGTTGTGCTGTGTCGTGCTGCGCTATGCTATGCTATGCTATGCTGCGCTATGCTATGCTATGATGGGTTTTGCTATGATATGCAGTGCTGCGCTGTGCTGTGCTACGCTCTGCTATGCTATGATGTGCTCTGCTATGCTAAAGCTCGGCGAAAGTAAACTGAAGGTTAGCTAAGCTAAAATACACCTGAGCTAAGATGAACCTAAGCTAAGCTAAGATGAAATAAGCTAAGCTAAGATGAGATAAACAACGCTGAGCTAAGGGGCCGTCACTGGGGGAACCGCGGGGCGGATACTGGGGGAACCGCCCGGGGCGATCTGCACTGCCCGGCCCTTTCAGCACACACGGTAAGAACCCTTCTAGGCAGAGCCTAGGTAGGGACAAAAACACACAGACACCATTAATCGTCGATTCCCCAGAAAACATGGAAACATATGGGAAGTGGAGAGGACGACAAAAACCCAGAAAATATGGGAAACTATGGAGAGTCCTGCTATTGAATCGCTTCGCTCATTCCGCCGGCCCGTGATATGGCATCGCTGGTTTTTGTCTGTGTGTTCGTTGCCCATGTTGCGCTCTTGGTGGCGGGTGTCGTTCGGACGCGTTGTGTGGGGAGTTTTGATGGTGAAGCAGTTCCCTGGGGGTCGTCTCTCGATGGGGCGAAATAGGGTCGTCGTCAAGATGCTTCTTTGGGGGGCCTCTTGGGGTCTGTTGAGAGGCCGTTCGGGGGCGCCTGGGAGACATGTTTGAAGCCTTCTGGGGCTTCTTTTGGGCCTCCTGGGAGTCTCCTGGGGCCTCTTGGCGACATCTTGGGGCCTCTTGGAGGCCTCTTGGGGCCTCTTTGGGACCTCCTGGGCGCCTTCTGGGACGGAGGGCTCCATTTTTGAGTTCTCGGTATCCCTCCTGAGTCCCTCTTGGGCCCGTCTTGGGGCCTCTTGGTCCGTCTTGGGCGGCACTTGGGCCGTCTTGAGGGCTCTCTTGGGTCGTTTCGGCGCCGTCTTGGGAGCTTCGTGGGCCGTCTTGGAGCGGTCTTGGGGGCCTCTTGGGCCGTCTTGGAGCGTCCGGAAGCCGAAAAAGCCAGAACACAAAAAACATCGAAAAAAACCAATGAAAATCAACGATTTTGGCCTCTTGGGGCTCTCTTCGGAGGCCTCTTGGAAGGCTCTTGGGGCGTCTTGGAGGCCTCTTGGGCTGTCTTGGGGGCCTTTTGGGCCGTCTTGGGGTCATCTTCGGCGTCTTCGAGCGCTCTTTGGGCGTCTCGGGGGCCTCTTGGGCAGTCTTGGGGGCCTCTTGGGGCACTCTGAGCGCGCTCTGGGGAGCCTGAGAGGCCGCACCCAGAAGGAAAACCATCTCTGAGTAGACTTGGTCGGGCGGCGGTCGGGCGGCGACCGGGCGTTGGTCGGGGTACTTTTCGCCGGGGGACCCCCAGGGGCCGCCCCGCGCGCGCGAACTAGAAATACTGTTAATACTGTTAATCAGTTACCGGAGATCTTAGCACGCCCTGGCCCGTTGGGCCGGCGAATTTGTGTGTATTGATTTGTGTGTCCCAGGGCCCCTTCACACGCCCTTCTACAGTCGGGGAAACGTAAGACTCAAGTAAGCCGGAACTCGGGTCAGCCGACTTTTTTGACGAGCGCGTCTTGGATTTTGACGGTCCAGTTTTCATTGGATATGTGCAGCGGGAGCTCGCGTCAGATTTCAGATTGGGCCTCGTCATTTTTATGATGGCCCCGCCAGGCCAACCCGAGTCGCCCGTACCCAAATCTTACGTCTCCCCGATACAGGAGGAATCATCGAAAACAGAATAGTCAGAAAATAGTCTGAGGACGACTTTTTTCATTTTTGATCATGTTTGGTACGTTTGACTATTTCTCATCTTTCCTCCAACATCCGCCTGTAGGGGATCACGCCCGACCTGAGCCTCGCCGTCGCCCTCCGCCTTCGCCGCCTGCCGGCGCCGCCCGCGGGGCGGTGGCCGCCGCCGCCTGCAGGCCAGCCGTGGCCCGCCACGGCGGAGCAGCTCCGCGCGTGCGCGGAGGACGCGGCGGGGCTCCCGCGGAGGCGCCCCGCCGCCGCCCCCCGCGCGCGCGGCCTCTCGGCGCGGCGTGCAGTCGGCGCCGCCGTCGCCGCCACTCGAGGAGCAAACCTCGAGATCCTGGCGTTGACTTTGTTCACAACGCGCGTTTCCTCGAAGGAGAAAGAACGCCATAAACTCACACTGTTGGCGCCCCGCACGGATTTCTTCGATCCGCGCTGGGGCCCTCTGGCGGCGCCTTTTGTCGCCGCCACTGGCGCGCTCCGTGCGCCTGGGATGGGGGCCCAGCGCAGATCCAGGAAGTCCGCGCGGAGCGCCACGAGCTTATGCTTATGGCGCTCTTTCGAACGAAGGATTGCAAATGATGGCAAAAAACCAAGGATTGCAATCCTTCGAGGGTTTTTTTGCAATCCTTCGAGGGTTATTTTGCAATCCAGGGTTTTTTTGCAATCCTTCTGATATGTTCACTCTACTTCGGGCCGTGGGGCCCTCGCGTGTCGATCCGGCTCGAAAGTGACGCAGAAAGACTTTGGTGCAGGGCTCCGGGTCGTGTGTCTCTCTTTTGTTTTCGATGCTGCAAGTTGTTTGCGACAGCGGGTCTTAGGGAATGGCGGCATCGCAGTGAGTTCCACCGAAGGCCCGAAGCAGCTTGGCGAAGATGCCAGCCCGTTCTCCAACAGAGGAAGTTCTGAACAGGACCATGCAGTGCACAAGGATGTTTTTGTGAGGGGCCCTGCGGACGCATCGCTAGAAGCGTCGAGCAACGCTTGACGTTCTGCATTCACCCACGCACTCTCACGACGCCATGCGAAGGCACCAAATGGGGCCATAGGTGGAGCTCCCTGGGAGACAGGAGACGATAGGAAACGCGTGACGGGCGTGTCGAAATCTGCGCGGGGACGCCATGCGAACTTACCCGTGAGGGGCATGCCGAAATTCGTGCGGGGACGCCACGCGCAGGCACCCATTGGGGCCCTGGGGGGAGCTCCCTGATGGGCAGAACACGGATGAGGGGTGTGCCGATATCAGCGCGGGGACGCCATGCGGGCGCATTCCTTGGGGCGATGGGTGGAGCTCCCTGGGGGGCACGAAACGTATGCGAAATGTGCTGGAATAGGCGCGGGGACGCCATGCGGACGCATTCCCTGGGGCCATCGGTGGAGCTCCCTTGGGCGCGGTGGGCGCATGCGAACGCACGTGAGGGGTTCGCCGACATGGTTGCGGTAGCGCCATGCGAGCGCAGCCACTGGGGCCTTCGGTGGAACTCACGATGGGGCCCTGAAGAGTGTGAGGGTATGCCGAACTGGGTGCGGTGGTGCCATGCGAACGCAGCCACTGGGGCATGCGGTGGAGCTGCCTCTGGGGCCACGACACGTGTGAGTGGTGTGCCGATATGGGTGCGGTGGTGCCATGCGGGCGCAGCCATTGCGGCCCTCGGTGGAGCTCCAAATGGAGCCACGCAACGTGTGGGGCGCGTGCCGACATGGGTGCGGTGGTGCCATGCGAGGTCAGCCACTGGGGCCTTCGGTGGAGCTCGCTATGGGGCCACGAATCGTGTGAGTGGTGTGCCGAAATGGGCGCGGCGATGCCATGCGAGCGCAGCCACTGGGGGGCCCTCGGTGGATTTTCTCTGGGGCCGCGACGCACGTGTTGGGTGTTCCGAAATGGGTGCGGTGGTGCCATGCAGGCGCAGCCACTGGGGCCCTCGGTGGAGCTCCAAATGGAGCCACGCAACGTGTTGGGCGAGTGCCGAAATGGGCGCGTTGGTGCCATGCGGGCGCAGCCACTGGGGCCCTCGGTGGAGTTCCCTATGGGGCCACGAAACGTGTGAGGGGTGCGCCGAAATCGGTGCGGTGATGCCATGCGAGCGCAGACACTGGGACCCTCGGTGTAGCTCCCTCTGGGGCCACGAATCGTGTGAGGGTGCGTCGACATGGGTGCGGTGAGTCCATGCGGGCGCAGCCATTGGGCCCTCGATGGAGTTCGCTGTGGGGCCACGAAGCGTGTGAGGGGTATGCCGGCATGCTTGACTGGTGCGGAGGGCAGGGGCAGGGATGGGAGGATGGAGAGGAGGAGCTGACGCAGGGCGCTGTCTTTTCAAAACAAGGGCCCAACACTACAGGATGGTTGGGACTCGAAAAACTATTGAAATACCTCATTTTGGCTTCGCGGGGCTCTCTTGGGAAGGCTCTTGGGTCTCTCTTGGGGTGTCTCGAAGGTTTCTGGTGCCGTCTTGAAGCCATCTTGATCTTGGGCGTCTTGGACCAACCGTTCGGCGACTCGGGGCCCTCTTGGGCCGTCTTGGGGGCCTCTCGAGGCCCTCTTGGCCCGTCTGGGGGGCCTCTGTCCAGTCCAGTCCAGAAGCCTTGCGCCAGCCACAGCGCGTGAGCAATGAGAGAAAACTGTGCACGGAAGCGGATGCCTTCAGCACGCCTCCCATGCCTTGACCGCCTGCTCCCACCTGCGAGCCGCACCGCCCTCTCGGCGGAAGTAGTCAGCAAGTCGCTCATGGGAGCCAGCGACATTCAAACAATTCTTTAGCACCATGGGTCCCCAAGACTGTCTCGGGCGGCCTCTTCTCCTTTTCCCAAGGAGGCTCTTGAGAACCAAACAACCCAGCTCAAACGCCGAGCTTCTTTCTGGATTCTCGTCTTGCCTTCTGGCTAAATGGCCCATGTACAAAGTCTGTCTACGCGCGAGACTATCGCTCAGAGGTATTTGTTGGCACATCTGCAAAACTGTACGATTCGACACACGACTGATGTATGACGGGGAGATTATGCAAATTCGTCTGAGACAATAATTCTGGAACCCGTCGAGCCGTCTTCGCTCGGCCTGGTTAAGACACGCAGTGAACAATACATACGTGAGTTTGGAAGCCACACAAGCGTTAAACACACGCAGCTTCTGTCTCCTACTAAAAGTCGAATGCGACCAGATCCTTGCAAGGGCCTTGAATCACTTTTGGCCGCCCCAATTCTCCGACTCAGTTCTGTGCCGATGCGCCCGTCCGCAGCAAGAGACGTCCCGAGATGAATTAGTGACAGCTTCGCTGGGATGGGGACCTCGTTGCGTCCCAAAATAGCTTCAGTCCTCGCTTTCATCAGATCCAATTTGCCCCAATTGAACTGCAACCCGTAATGGCTCCCGCGCTCCTCAATGCAGCGCATCAACTCTTGAACGAGGTCCGGGTCAGAGTCTCTGAGTAAGTAATGTGTCGCCCGCGTACACCAGTTCCCTCGCAAACCGACGTTCAGGTATCGGTCCGACACGACTGAGAAGCAGCGCGTGCGCGTCCGTGAGAAGCGTCGTCATCACACTGGTGAACAAGAGAGGGGAAAGTGGACAGCCCTGGTATATGCCGTACTTCTGCTGATGCACGCTGGACGTAGCCCCGAAATCCCTCACGACAAACTTGCGCTCGCTGTAAATCGATATGACGACGTCCACGAAACCTTCTGGGCAGCCAAATCTCCGCAACGATCTGGCGAGCGCGGTCCGGCGAGACCGAATCGAACGCCTTGGTCCAGTGAAGTGCCAGGAACAAGCGACTTGCATCTCGCGTTGACCATGTGTCGTCCAACATCCGGCGGGCGAGGAATACTGCGTCTGCCGTGCCCCTCCCCGAGCGGAATCCGAATTGGGTTCGCCAGATGCGGTCTTCGGCCCCCGCCTGTTTAAGCCTCTGGAGCAGGATGGCCGCGAACAATTTGTAGCCGATGGGAGAGATGCTGATGGGGCGGTAGTTCTCGCATTCAGCAGGGTCGCCTTTTTGAACAACATCGACACCCTCGCATGCCTCCAAGCTTCTGGGATCTTCCCCTGTCTCCATACGTCGGTGTAGAATTTTGCGAGATAGCTCCGGAGACCTCCCGCGTCGCTCGCCGCTGCTTTCCAAAATTCGGGCGGCACCCCGTCGAGACCAGAAGCGCGTCCACGCTTTAATTTCGCAGCTGAGGTCTTCACTGCTTCCACTGTGATATCGCCCATGAAGATGGGCAGGTCGCTGTCGGCAATGCGGGCGTCAGCTGACGGTCGCACTGACGTGGGTCTGACTGCACACTGCACCCTCTCGAGGTAGTCGGCCAGAATCTCAGCGCGCTGGTCCGTGTCCACCATGCCCTTGTTGACGTCACGAAGCCTGCCCTGTTTGCGGACAGGGCCTTTCTGGAGCCTCCGAATCTGGCTCTAATCAGCGGATTCCGTGAGCGATTCAATCCAAGCGGCCTTGTCCTTGGCAACCGAGGCGCGGATTTTCTTCGACAAGCGCTCCTCCTCGTCAGTGTCGCCCTGCTTTCTGGCGTTCCTTCGGCGCTCGATCAGCCCCAGCATTCCTGCACTCGTCCACGGCATCGTGGTCCGCCTCGGAACGAATGGCAACGTGCGCTCTGCAGCATGATGAAAACCGTCCACGACTCCACCCCAGATCGACATCCCCGTCTCTTGCTGCTTGCTGCTGTCCTCGAAGCCCTCCAAAGCATTCAACATGTTCACGTTGAAAAAAGAAGTGGCGTGTGGGTCGGAGAGGGCTGTGACATCAAGACGTGGACTCTGACACGCAGGGACCGTCTTCTCAACTGACATGTGGACACACGCAATCAACAAGAAAGGATGGGTCGACAGCGGCACGTCGTGCCCAGCAGCCACGGATGTCACGGAGAAAGGTCCTCTCGCAGAGTACGAAATCGATTTGCGAGTGCGTCGAAGATCAAACTTGTAGCCCAGCAGGCGCACCCCCTTTGTAGGTGGTGACAAGGTTGCCAGCCGGCTCGTCAAACAATGTGTTTGCAACGCAAACGCTCAAATTCTCACACATTTCAACCATGAGGTGTTGGTTGGCGTCTTCCTTGCACGTCTGGAGTGGGTGCTTGAAAATGTAGAGCCCCACCGTGTCTCTCTCTCTCTCTCTCCATCGAGTTGGTCATACAACTTTGCATTCATGTCTCCTAACACAAGCTTGGGTCCATGACTGGATCTTGTGGCGACGATTTCTGGCAAACTCGCGAAAAAATCAGACCGCCGCTGG